TTTTGGCATTTTGCGTTGATTCACTGTAAACGGAAAATCACTTTTTAAATTGTTGCCTCCGACTTGTAGAGCCTGTATTATATTCAAAAATGTTAAATAATGAAGAGCCTGCATAAATGTATGTATGTTTATCGTATTGTGATAAAACAACGGTACCTAGAGCCATCCAATTCTGAATAATGAATCCACCCGAATATTCCCATCTGGGAGCCCGAATTTATTTTATTATCTATTTAACATTTTGTAAAGCATTTATGAGTTTTCGATTAAGAAACTCAATGATTTCAAAGCGAGCAATGGCAACACTGTACGAGAAAAAAATTATCTCCAATGCGCGAGACTGTGTATCGGAAATTCTAATGATATCCTGTTTTGCTGTTTTTAAATATTTTATAATATTGCTGATGAATTGCATTTAACGGTTTAAGTACGAAGAACATGATATTTATGAGATAAATTATATTTATGAGATATTTAGGCGTAATATAAAATCTGAAAGCTTTCAGTTTTTATTTTTTATTTTTACTGTTCTGATTAATCTCACTTGTCTCATATCACAACAAGCCTAAGAAATTCATCGCAGCAAAGAGGCAAATCGTGTCTGTCGTTGGAAAGGGGCCTGGGCATGACACAGGGTGACAGTACGACTTTGCTCAGTCCCCCCCCCCAATTTTGAAGAAAGGTACCCCAAGAGGACGGGTTCGAGTGTTTTCCAAGCCCCTCTTTCGCTACTACTAACTCATTGAGAAGACTTTCGGCTCGCCGCCTATTTAGAGTCCCCTCATGCCTCATAGACACTATACATTTTCAAATATCAATGCCCGCTACAGGATTCGAATTCGGGCTCTTCAGTATGGTAGTTTTAAGGAGGCATTTTTAGTCAAAACAAGTAGGTTTGTTTTGCTTGGTTGAAATCACTTAACATAATAAGAAACGAAACGTTATCTAAATCAATAAATTTTACTTTAGGTTTTAGTTGAAAGTATAAATACGGATTCAATATTTAACGAAATAAATTCTGTATTCTTCTGTCAGATAAGAGGCCTTTTTCTTGAAAACTTGCTATGGCATCCACCTCATTACTTAGTAAATTAAAGATTGTTAACGTCATATTCACAAAAAAAGCAATGAATATACTTTTAATAACAACGTGAAAAGTAAAAATACTGAAGCACGTGCTTTTAACACCGAGTAAATGGATGTCTATGTAATATGTATTGAAATTGAATAAATGCAGTTAACCACTATGTTAGCTGTAACCGTAATTCCATCCTCCTACTGCTTTGCAGTCATTTCGAGAAGCAGAAATTGCTATAAATATCTCGCGCGGCCAGTTGAAAACTATTGAAGGCGAAGAGACAGCATTTGCTCTCATTTCACAACAAATAAGACGGTTGCACACGTAAGCAATCACACCCTCTCCTCAACAGTAATTCCGTCTAGGGCACTTACCCAAGCATTCACATACTTTCAAGGCCCTAGAGCACACTAAGGCAAGGCAACCGGCAAAAAGCTTGCTATATAAGCAAGCTAGGCTCGGTGTATAGAGGAAACTGAAACCGAATTCTGCTGTCAGTTGTTTAGTTAGTTGCTTAGTTAATGTTATTGCGAGCTGTAGTTCCGCGTGAAATGAGATAAATCCGAGTTAGCTTTCTCTTTAGGTGTGCATTGCATTGCGTTGTGTTTAGCGTTCTTAGTAGTTTGAGGTGTAACTACTGATTATATTGTGTGATACTGTGAACACTTGTACGAATATCTCTGAGGAAAATTCCAGCGTTCTGTTATATGGCTTGTGATAAGAATAAATTTTATTAATGTGTTATCGGGCTTGTGCATTCAATTTATCGCGAACTCGTACGCACGCAACAATATTTTATTAGTCACGGTGCGATAAAGGTTCAGATGTTTCCAATATCAGGCACAGTTTTCTTTCTGTAACTAAATAATTTTTAATCGTGTTCTTTATTTCCAAAGTCAGGATGCTCTTAGCAGTTATTTTAAGCTCCTGTGAATATTATGAATTCCTTTAAATAAAACGTGCAATTCTGCTTCAAATCCTTTTCTACCTGCTCTGTTTACTTTAAGGTAGCTTTACAATTAAAGCGCACAGACATATGCTTTTAAACAACCGGCGGTGATTTTCCTATCGGCTTTCTATGAGTACTTTTTCCTTTTCGTGGTAATTTTAAATCAATGGCAGACGCTCTGAGGTTTGCTTTCGTTTCAGTTATTTGCAGAAGTAGCTTCAGATATATTTCCTTTCTGAAACCAGTTAATAACATTATCATATTTCAAATTATCAATAAACTACAAAAAAAAAAAAAAAAAAAAAAAAAAAAACTGAAAGGTTTCAGATTTTAAATTACGTCTAAAGGGGCGTTTTTTTAATGTTTTGTGTGTTACCTTTATTTATTCAAAATCTATGTTCTTTGCACTTAAACCATAAAATTCAGTTCAATAGCAATATCGCAAAATAATTTTAAGATGAGTCTATCTTTAGAATTTCCGATATACAGTTCCGCGAGCTAGAGATAAAAAGGTTCTCTCCCCGTAGAGTGTTGCCATGGCTCGCTTTGAAATCCTGGAGTTTGTTAATCAAAAAATCGTTAAAGGTTTACAAAATACAAAATCGATAATAAAACAAATTTCAAATTTGGTCTTCCACATGCCCATATTCGTAGGCATGGACCTTATAAGAAACAGACTAACATAAATGGGTTTTCTCCCTCGTCTGAGGCGTTCCCGGCTGTCTCCTTGATCACATCCGGAGGAGTAGGGACGACTTGTAGAAATTTAACAGTGGTTGTCTATTGCAGCGTGTATAATTGTCAAGAAAAAGCTGATTGTAGCGCTTCATTTCACAAATTAGAATTTCTACATACTTTTATTTTTGAAATTGAGATTGATTTTTAAAAATTTAGCATATTTATCAAGCATAATTAACGTTCCAAATAATTATAAAGCTACTTTAGGGCTTTAAGTTTACTTTAGGGCTACTTTTAGTATACTTTTAGGGCTGGCTATTTTTTTAGCATTTCCTATGCTGTAAGGAAATTTGTAACTACTTGTTTTAGAAAATAATATTTTTAATCTGAACTAATAGAAAATTTCAAACAAGCAATTTTCTCTTGCAATTGTTGTGCTTTTTATTGGTGTAAATAAGTAAAAAATATTAAAATATTTAAAAACGAATTTTTGAAAGTTTTGTTTAAAATTCTAAATTGTGCTGCTCTTTTAAAGTTATAGATAGCACAATTATAGCACAATTTCTATAAAAGAATTTTATTTCAATTATATTTCATAATACATCACAGTGATAAACACTTTTGACTCCTTAATAAATTTTATACATTTAATTCTAATATTGAAATTGTATTTAAACCTAATAATTAATTTTGCTTGTATTTTATAGTGATTATTTTTAAATTTATTTTTAGTTCTGCATAAGTTTTTTTTATTTACAGTTCATTTAATTTATTAGCCCAAAAGGGCAGTAGCCCAGAAAGGCTGTTAGTTTCGAAGCGGCATTTTGCGCTGTTTTACTATAAATGTCCGTGTCTCCTTGAAAATTGTTGCTACCAAATATTATCGCCCTGTATTATATGTAAGGAAATTAAATAATGAAAAATCTGCATGAATATATGTATGTTTCTTGCATTGTGACAAAAACGACGGTATCTAGAGCGATCAAATTTTGAATAATGTAATCCTCCACCCGAACATGGGCATCAGGACGGCCGAATTTCGAATTTGTTTTAATCTATTTCATATTTTGTAAAACTTTAACGAATTTTTGATTAACAAACTCAACGAGTTCAGAGCGTGCACTGAACGGAAAATAACAGCTTTATCTCCAGTGCCGAAATTCTAAAGATATGCTGTTTTCAAATGTATGTGGTTTACGGGCGAAGAACATGCTATTCAATAAATATAGGTAACACACAAAACTTTAAAAACAAGGTTCCTTTTGGGCGTAATATAAAATCTGAGTGCTTCTAGATGCTATTTTATCTTTTTTTTTTTTTTTTTCCCCGTCATTACGCTTAGAAAATTTTATGCTCCGAATTTTATGAATTATTAAAATAACTAATCCACTTCAAAGTTAATAATATAATGATAATATAATCAAATAAATATGATCGTTTTGTAATGTTATTATAGTTTGCAAAATCACTGCCTGAAAATGTTCATTAAATTAAAAAAAAATTATCAGATCTTGTTTAATTTTACCTTATTTATTTCAAGTCTACTGGAGCTCCTTAAACGTTATTGTTCAAATGTCCCCATAAAAAGAAATCGAGAGGAGTCAAATCTGGAAACCGAGGTGGCCAAAAGATAGATCCACCAAGTCTAATCCATTGTATGCCAAATGTTGCATTCACGTATTGACGAACATCTAGGGTTAAGTGGGCTGGCGCCCCATCATGCTGAAACCACATGCGGTTTCTGACGGTGATTGGATGACGTTGTAGCAAATCTGGTAAAACTTCTTGAAGGAAAATGAGATAACAGGGGCCATTGAGTCGCTGTGGCAGTAAGTATGGGCCAATGAAGAAGTCATTTACAATACCAGTCCACACATTGATACTGTAGCGATCTTGAAATGCATGCTGTCGCGTTGTGTGTGGATTCTCATTTGCTCACACATGGCAGTTGTGCATATTAAAATTATCGCGTGTAAATGTCGCCTCATCTGTAAATAACATATGCACAGAAAATGAATTGTGCCATTATAATCTTCGCATTTCATAGTGAGTTTTGAAAGTATTGCGTTAAAAAGGTTATTATTATGCTTTAAATTTATTCTATACAATTTAAATTAATTTTTGATTATTTAATCAAATCGATACAACTTTCAAGTATCAGATTTAACAAACTGCTGATTATTTTATTAAATTGATACTTCTTCATTGATCAAAAGATACTTGTGCAAAGATATTATATAAGCATGTATTTCAATAAAATGATCCCGTTTATGAAATTAGCTCTTTTATTTACAGGTTCTATGAGTGGAGACTACTTGAACATCAGCAAAGCGAGTCGTCTTCACATGGGGGCTTATCTGTGCATAGCTTCCAATGGTGTTCAACCTTCCGTCAGCAAGCGAATCATGCTCAATGTGAACTGTAAGTTTTGTTATTCGAAACTCTATCCATCTTTTACCGAAAACACTATCTATTATTTACTATCTTACAAAACTCTGTTCAGCACTAACTGAAAACAGGATCAGTTCGAAAGGGAGAATTTCTTTAGCAGGAAATTCCGTCAATTAACTGTAAACTGAAATAAATATTAACATTTTAATTGCATTTAAATGCTATATTTTGAAATATGTGTGCAAAAGAGGGTAAACATTATTCGAAAATTTATTAAAGGTAGGTAAAAGAAATGTGTTTGCTAATAAATTTCTAAAACCTTATTTTTATTAATGTTATAGAAAATATATATCATTATCCGGCAATAAGCAGATTATTATTTATATTATAGAGTTGAAAGAATACAAATGGATTTGTTTCAAAAGGCAGCTACAGCAGACATCTGTACAAATGACACAAAACATTTTACGTAGAGAATTGAAATCTAACTGATACAGATCAGATCAGTTACAAGTGTGTGTCAAAATACAGTCATAAACAATGCGGGTAAAGCCCTGGCGCACTAACCATCAGGGCCCTCGATTGGCAACTGGCACGTTTAGACAATCAGCTGGAAATTTATTTATAATTTTAAAAAGGCTACAAGAAATATTACATGAAGTTTACAGAAAGGTTACAAGAAAATTAAATGAGTGATTTTCTGCGAATCCTTTTAAGTAGTTTCTTCGATTTGGGATAGTTTTTTAAAATATGAGATCATATTTAAAAAAAGATTGGGAAAGTTTCCCAATTTGGAAAATTAATTTTACCGATTGAGGAGTTAAAACAACATTAGAGCTTATAATTCATATAAATATTTATTTACTTATGCATACATTTCTTCTAGTTTCGTATGAATTCCTTTATTTTACGATTTTGTTTTAAGAAGTTTTAGAAAAACATTCCATCTTCAATTTATACTTTTTGAAAATATTTTCTACGTTCAAAACAACATTTTCTTCAGTTTCTTCTAAATTTAATAACTCTGAATAAATAAATGAAATATAATTCTCTGATAAAAATATGCCAAACGAATAATATAACAATTTTTTTGTCCTATAAGTTCAGTCGAACCTTCTTTGCTTATCAAAACCCTTCCTTGAAATCTAATTTTAAAGCATCAAAAGAAGTTGATTAAATAATTTAATTAATAAAAAAAGGTTGTGAAAAAACTGTGTAAATCTACTTATTTTTGGATGAAGCATAAAGTAAGAAAGCGACTTGATGAAGCATATTTAAGATACAGTTTTTAAACACCTGGATTTCTTGTATTATTCCATTGCTAAATAAATTGCTTTAAACATGTTCATACACTTTTATAAGCTTATAAAATGAAAATTTTTTGTTTCATACCTTCTAGATATAAGCATACAAAGTCCATGGTGGACGGCAGAGTATCCACATAAAATCAAAGAACATGGTTAGACATCCAATCGTCTCCAAAATTTGACCAAGGGGAACCAAACCCCATGGACAACCTTTGATATCGCACCCTGCAACATCTCCATAACCATGAGGCAGACAAGACAGAACCATATGGTCCTTGACGAGCCTGAACCATATGGTCCTTGACGAGCCTCAATTATATGGTCCTTGACGAGTCTGAACCATATGCTATATTTTGAAATATAGCATATGGTTGTTGACGAAGCCTGAACAATATGGTTGTTGACGAGCCTGAACCATATGGTCGTTGACGAGCCTGAACCTACCACGGAATAAGCGATGGTTCTAGTCAGTGTGAAGTCTGTTAATTTTATCCCAGAGGTCGAATCTGTCTAGGTACTGGTAACTAGGCAGAAAGCCGAGATTGCTCCCAGACAACCCCCAAGGAAGTTCATAAAACGGATACAAGACGTTTGTCATGGAGGCACTGTTTGCACATTATGAGAGAATGTAATGGGTGACACCGGCTGAGGTCTTGTTGATGTAGATAATTGATGATGTCTGTTATATATTTTCCGATGATGCGCCAGGAATCTCATAAATTTGGTATCATAGCTATTTGGGTGTCTAATGTGCAATCCCTCGGTTAGTGGACAAGTAAAGAAAGAATCAGGTCAGGATATCCCCCTTTCCCCATATAGCCACATATCAGTGAGTGATAACTTTCCGTCATCGAAATAAATGAGGAAGGGACCATGACCGGAGATATATTGCGAAATAAAATACGAGGATATAATGATGTTTTCACTGATCTTTGGAAAAAAAAACGAAACGCTCTTCGGCCTTGTGGCTCTTGCTTCTGTTGGTATTGCCATTTTTTTTGTGATGATATTTTTAATTTATGTTTTAGTAAGTATCTTGGCCATGCCGTTTCAGTTTTCTCTCCTACTCGTTCAAGTGCATATTGTTTTGCGAGAATATCTGCTCTTTCAGTCAATCACGACATGTTATCTCGTAAACATACACCCAAATCCTAGAGTTTAAATGTTATCTCGTAAACATACACCTATTAATCAGTTTACAAGACTGAGAAACTTGTGGTTCAGTAACTATATGAGATAGCTTGTCTTTCATCTTAAACTTGTACGTTTGAGGGTGTCCAGAATTCAAATGAAAAAAATGGAACTGCGTTTTGTGCTGACGTTTCTTGAATGAAAGTGTGAAACATCGAGTGTAGCTTACCGAAAACACATGATGGGGCTCGGACGCTGAAAATTTAAAGTGCAATAAAATATTTGAATTTTACAAACAATATAAAAAATGCTGTAAATAGATTTAATTTTATCTTGGTCGAGGTGGCTGCAGTCCTTCCCGATATAAAGATTTTATGAGTCTCAGTATTTCACTAAGTACCTGCACCAACCGCTCACGGGCTGGCCAGCAACCGAGAGATAAAATCGCTGAACACTGGTAGTTCGGTTGCGATTCGAATTCCGGCGAAGGCGCTGGCTGCATGGGAGTTTTCGTGGATTTCCCCCATGTGTAATTTGCATACGAGACAGTTTCCATTAGAAGGACCTCTACGAAGGCATCCGATACGTAATTAGATTACTATAAATCAAGAATTCCGCCAAGTGAATTAATTAAAAATGCGCCAAGATGAATTTTTAAATTTCTCCTTAAATTTCGCAACATAGTTTACAAAATTTAATAGTTTAGCATCATTTCAGTCGTAGAATGGAAATATGGAAACAAATTGGCATGGAATTTCAGAAAGAATAGTATATAGAAAAGAAGTAGTCAACGATTTAAGAATAAAGCACGCTAGTACTAAAAGAATAAATTAGCGCAAAATTGCTGCTAAATTATAAATGAGTGATTTTCTGCGAATCCTTTTAAGTTTAAAAGTTAAAAACCGTTGTTAGATACAACTATCAGTAATAACACCCGAATTTTAGCAAGTAAATTAATACACGAACTACATAAAAACAAAAAAAAAAAAAAAATCTAAGAAATTAATACATTGAATATGAAAGAAGAAATTAAAACTAAGATGCTAAAACATCGATTGGAACAAGAAAGTAAACAAGGGAAGTAATCGTGAAAAAATTAAACAATTATGCAAAAAAAAAAAAAAATCTTTTTAATAATCTTCCCCGTCTGGAGCCCCACAACAGAACTTGTCAAGGGAAAAGTGTTTTGAAGCTCCATACCTGGTCAGTTCAAAAGAGACCCAAGACAAATTTCGTTCTGACATTCACTCAGCCTTGTAAACGCAATGCTTAATTTATTTGTCAAAAAATTATAAAAATAAGAAGTCTCATCGAATTGTCTCTTTTCTCTACTTGTCTTAGCTTTCTAACACAAAAAGGATAATAGAAATATGTAACATGCATACAATGACACAAATAAAAAAACGTTTTGCTTCAAAATATATAAATAGAAAATATCTGTGGATTCATGCAAGATTTTTGTTTTACAATGTAAAAAATAAAAACTGAAAAATTCAAATTTAGGCTCTTAAAGAGTTAAAAGAGACAGTCCTGTGAAACAACTTAAGGAGTATCTCGAAAAACTGTAACGAAAAATGTAAATAATAGACTAAGCCTATGTAAGAGAATGCTAATAAAACAGTAACTATTTTAATTTACGATATGTAAGAAGAGAAAGAATACAAATGGAATGTCAGATTAAAGAAATCAGATTAAAGAAAAGTCGACCAGGAACGAGGTAGTTTGCTAAAGTAAAAACATATGAGAGCAAAAACCTAATAAGTAAAAAATTTTTGCATTTCATATGAAGAGGTTCTTACCTAACTGAAAATATACATCCTTAAATATCGCTTTGAGACATGAAAATCGCAGTTTGAATTTCTTCAATCGGCTCATTAGAACAGGAGATACAGAACTATCTTTTTTTTTTCCGTGCAGTGTACATCAAAATTTATTCATTCAAGTACTCTACCAAATGGCTTACAATATTGAGCAAACTGCAAGCTAGTGCCATATGTAATAAATGTCACCGTTTCGCGTTCGATCTTTAAATTTTAAGTTTTCCTTTTAACTGAAAACCTCCTTGTAAAATGCAAATAACGCATTTGGGGAACAAATAATTCTTTCCGAAAATTATGTTTACATCTCATATGAATTACAATCTTATAACAGCTTGTTAAATAACAAGCCAATTTGCTTAAAATTATTTTGATTTTTCAGAAATTACAAACGTCATAAATATTGATATCATACAGTAAATAATGCAGTAAAATCAAGTCCTGTTAGAGAATCAAACGAAGTATTCCTGTAAGTCGACTTGTAAAAATGCACATTTTACTTGTAATCCTTCAGCAGCTATGATTAATCGGTTTAATTTATTTCGCATTATTAAATGATGCATTTAAGTAACGTAGATAAATATCTGAAGCGCAAACTTAAAATGTATTAAAAATACATGTTTAAATTTGCGTATATATGTGTTTCCATACGTCTAAAGCTTTTATCAATTTAATTTACTAACGTAAACTTGCTCTCCTTTTCTTAGTGTACACCTAGATCAAATTCCGGAGAAATGCCGGAGACAGGGAAGATATTGAATTGATGTTTAAATTA